AGAACTTAACTGTCTACACTGTGTATTTGTGTTTTTTTTGTTGTTGTTTTTTTTACATGAAGTTCTTACAAGTGTAACTTTTTGTCAATGAACATATGTAATTTTATGAATTGCTTTTTAGGTGCTTGAGAGCATGGTCAATAAGTTGCAATCAACTTAAACTAGAAGCCCTAATGTAGTTAATGATATTCTGGATGATCCAGATTGTGTGATGTCATCTGAAAAAACAACTAAAGGAAATTACCATATACAAGCTGTATATACTCATGAATGCCATCTTTCCAGAACCTTTCTATTAGTACCACAACAACAGGAAATTAAGTTAACAGTATAATCACTAAAACAAAAGATATTGCCAGAAATCATTACTACCATCATTAAAAATGTAGAATATTCACTTCATCCTTATCACAGCATCAAGAAGGTGGACCATTACCATCATAATTACACCTGTTTTTATTATTACTACTAAAATAATAACGTATTAAGGTATATTTTGTTATACTAAAACAGGTAAGTAAGATGTCATTAACTTATAAGAAACGTTAAATTCCTTCTTCAAAAGTGAAGTCACCCCTGAAAGAGAAATCTCTACCTACAGAAAATACTTGTATTGTGATTTATTCAATTCTTCTATCTCAGTGTTTTTTAAGCATTGTGAAGAAATATTAACTTTTATTATAATGGCTACAAATTTTTTACAGATCTTAATATGGGTTTTGTTTTGTGATAAGAGTAAACTGAAAATACAAATGAACAAAGAATAATTATCAGAAAAACATAAATGTTGAGACCAAACAATATAACTTGCTGCCTATTCTATATAGGAAGATAAAAGTTAATAAGTGTGACAAGTCAAGTCTTAATAACATTTGAATTATAAAATAAAATAACAGAATAATTGAATCTTTGCATAAGTAATTTACAGTTAGAACCATATGAAAGCCAAATTTTATTTATTTATCATTTTTAAGCAAATATTTATTTCGTATTTTATAAACCAATGTATGTTTTGCACACGATGTCATGTAGGCAATCATATGCATTGTGAAAAAAAAATTATTATCCCAGAAATGGTCCAGAACTCTTATCTAATTTTAATCTAATGCTAAGTTTTAAACAATATCTGTATAAACTTTCATTAATTATTCTTATTCTAATTTCAATTAATAGTCATTTAAGTATATGTTGTAAGTCACATTGTCTATAATCAGCCATCTGTTTTTTCAGCGAATGACCAAAACACAATATTGTTTTTGCTAAACTGATGAAGCATATTTCTTTGAAATAGCTAACTTAATTAGTTAGTAGTACTAATAATAATAATATAAAATGCTTAACAGTCAAGAGAAGCTGGAAGATTCCTTACCATAGATGGCTTGATAAGCCGTGCCTTCCAACAAAAAAGCAGCTATATAATGGAACATCAAAGTCAATATTTTGTGTCAAATTATCTGTTCTGTTTTGAAATAACAAATATTTCAGAAACCCTGCATTTAATAGGTATGAATTATTTTCTAAACTGTGAATTTTTTTTATTTTATACATATACAATTTTTACCACAACAAAAATGTCTGTAATACTCCAACTGCTGGCAATAGAACAAGTTAATACAGTCATACATTTTTAAAGTTTCATAGAATAAGAAATTTTTTATACTAAATTATCATCTTTGATTTATCATTTAGATGAACAGATAGAAGACTGGCCTTATGTTGTTGATGCACTAATACAATATGCTATTAATTGTGGTAAGAGAAAAAAAGTTGTATATATTGATTAAGCTAATATCCTTATTTTGGGTGTTAGATGCATCTAGATAACTATTTATGGCTGTCCAAACTTTGTGTGTGTGTGTGTACATCAGTAATTGTTGACAGATGTCATGATAACTGAGTTACCAAATATATCTTAGGTTAGTCCATTGTTTTTCTGTTTACTAATTAGAAACCATAGCAGCTATGTCAGTTATTTTCTTTATAGTTTCATACAACAAAGAAATCTTTAAACACTTAATCTTAAACAATGTAACTATAGTTATTTGTTTTAAAATACATATATTTTTGTTCAGATATTAAAATCCAACAAATTCCATTTTTTTTGTTTCACAAGGAGGTCATTACCATAGCCAGAGCACCTTGCACAAACTATTCACCCCCCTGCAAAATTACCACATTTTGTTACCATCTGAGCATGAAATCATGAAATTTTCAAATGGGACTTTATATTTAGAAACTACACAATCTGCTCCAAACTGAAAAAGCTAAAAAAATGCTGTAAGTAAGTTAGATTTTCAAAGAAAATCAAAACATTCTCAACTGTATAAGTATTCAACCCTTTTTCTGTCACAACATTAAATCAGTTCAGGTGCAGAAGATTAGTTTGAAAGGTCAAAAAATTAGTGCAATGGTCTCTGCCTGTGTGTAATCAAAGTGATTTAACTTTATTTCAGAGTAAATGCATCTGTTCAAGCCACAACTTACATAGTGATACAACAAGCCAACCACGAAGACCAAGGAGCTTTCCAAACAAGTCAGGGATAAAGTGGTAGAGAAACACAGATCAGGAGAAAGTTACAATAAAATTTCAAAGTCGATGAGTATCCCTTTGAATATGGTGAAATCCATCATTAATAAGTGGAATGTGCTTCATACCACCCAGTAACTACACAGATCAGACTGCCCTTCCAAACTAAGAAGTCAGCCAAGCAGAAAACCACTGTGAAACCAAAAGTGACATTGAAAGATTCACAAAGTTCCATGTCAGTGTTCATACATCAACAATATCCTGGTCCCTACACAAAGCTGGCCTGTATGGGTGAGTGGCGAGAAAGAAGCCATTACTGAAGCAGAATTATCTTAAATCTTGTATGGAGTTTGAGACAAAACATGTAAATGACATTGGAAACATGTGGCAGAAGGTTTTGTGGTCAGGCAAGACAAAAATTGAGCTTTTTGGTTTAAATTCAAAGCATTACATCTGGTGCAAGCCCAACAGAGTATATCACCCAGTCAACACCATCCCAGCTGTTAAGCATGGTGGTGGCAACATCATGTTATGGGGATGCTTCTCATCAGCAGGGATTGGGAAACTTGTCAGGATTGAGGGGAAGATGGATGGTGCAAAGTACAGGCAAATCCTAGAGGAAAACCTGCTTGAGTCCAAGAATCTAAAACTGGGTCAAAAATTTACATTTCAACAGGACCATGACCCGAAGTACAAGACCAAAGCCACACTGGAGTGGTTTCAAAGAAGAAAGTGAATGTCTTGGAGTGGCCTAGTCAAAGTCCTGACTCTAATCCATTAAAAAATCTATAGCAAGACTTGAAGACTGCAGTCAAACAACCATCCCTAATGTACTTTACAGAATTGGAGCAATTTTGCAAGGAAGAATGGGTAAAAATTACACCATCTCATTGTGTAAAGCTGGTAGAGACCTATCCAAAAATACTCACAGCAGTAATTGCTACCAAAGGTTCTTCCACCAAGTACTGACTTAGGGAGCTGAATACTTATACAATCAACAAATTTCAATTTATATATTTTCTTTGCAGGTTTTGTTAACATTCAACCTCCTTCATACATAACAGTGTTAAGTTTGATCATTAGAGTTTTGAATAAAAACAAGTCCATTAAAAAAATGTTTACATTATTTGTATTTCATCAAAATATGACATTTTTTGGTTGGGGGGTGAATAGTTTTGCAAGGCACTGTATATTCTAAATAATTTAATGAAGTTGTGCTTTTGTGAAAACCGCTTGGTGGACAAATGAAAATTAGATTTATTTTTCTTGCTAGGACTAGTTTAAAAGAAATTATTTAGTTTTTTTTCCTTATCAAAAAATTAAAGTTACAGTTATGTTGCATGTTTAAATCAAGAACTACCAAATTACCCTTAAAGAAATGGGTTGTCTTTGTTTACTATAACTGCCCATATATTCCTACTGTTAGATACAGAAGAAACATAAATAACTTCTAAAATAACACTATAACATATTTTATATGGCTTGAAATTAGAGAGCTTCCTAATTTAAGAACCTATGTACTGCTCAGTTTGCATATTTATTGGATTTTTTATGTGTGTTTAGCTATTTCTATTCACAGAAAATAGTTGAATGATGACAAAACAATAATAATGTTTTTCATTCTATATTGGATGAACATATTCCTTCTCAAGTGATTTAATCAAACTATTATAGGATACTTATGTATAAATTTTATCTCAAGACATTTGAAAATTGATTATCCTGACAAAGGCACAGTACCACATATTGACACATTTGGACGTGCTGCTGTATTTTGTATTTAGCTAGATTTTAAATTCAAAACTATATATATCCAAATGTAAAGGGCATGACAAACTTTAAATTCTTAAATATTTCATTACTTATAAATACCAAGGATTTCTGCTAAACCCACAATATTACCAGGACTTTCCAGTTTTATCATTTTTGTAAAGTGCCTGAGCTTTAAGGAAATTAATGATACTTGTTTTGTTGAAAGATAATTTGTGACTGAAGTATTTGTGGTTAAGAATATTGTTTAGTTGATTTAGAAGTGGTAAAAGAAAAATAATATGTAAAACTTAAGAAGTGAGTTTTATTATAAATAGAATTCTAATTTCTACTTAAAAGGTAGTTTTTAAGAGTAATTATTTGAGAAAATAGTGTCAGTATAGCTCAATAGAAACAAATTTAGAGTACTGTGAAAGGTCAAAGAACAAACATCCCTGAATTGATATTATGTTTACCATTATTAAATAATTTTTGTTAGTAAAAAATTCTTATCTTGAAATGACTTCAGTGTTCTATGGCAATGATTCTTAGACAAAATGATGGAAAGTTAAGTTAAAACCACCAATTTTACATTTATAAAAAATAGGTATTTAACAAAAATATACAGCCTACCATTAAATAAACGGAAACCCTAATAAACCAACAGAACAGAATTCGTGCTATGAAAAGGAGTCAGGAGAATTCCTTCACATCAATTAGTTAATACTGTTGTAGGACAGGTGCAAGTAGAAGTTATCTTCATTGCATGGGCTACAAAGGCAGAATAGGTCGGTGGAGTCCACTTCTCACTCCAGACAACACTATACTTGACATTAGTGAGCATTACTGATGTTATCACTCTCTCCCGCCTTTTGAAACAATGTAATTGTTTTTATATTTGTACTCGGACAATGAACGCCCATGGCTTTTATGATTATTCACCCAGGAACTTTTCTGAACCGTTAGCAAGCCATGACAATATACGGCAGTATTTCTATTATGATGTGTAGTATCATTTTGGCAACTGGACAATCACAGCTGGTTTGCGAAGAAACAACCACTTCTGCTCAACGCGTCTCAAAATTTTTAGCAAAGCCTTATATTCAAGTACGTCAGTGACCAGTTAACTAGTTAAAGAAGTGTTTTCATAAATATAGAACTTTTGCTTGTTTAGCCCAAGTCGGAAGACGATGGCTTGAAGGTCAGGGCGTTACCATGTCAGTCGCCAAATAAAATACCCATTGAGTGTATGCGACCAATGCTTGATCATTCCCTTCGAAAGTAACCCTAACAACCAATGTCTAGGAACACATTCATCCAAGTCTTCATCAGTTGTCGGATACAATCCCATAGATCCAGCTTTCAGATATTTTAAATACGATAAATAACCATGCCTTCAGTTTTGCAAGGGGTGGATCCAGTAAATTAACAGTAATCTTGTACCTTTTGTTTCATGTTTGTTTAATAAAATTATATTCTTTTTGGGGAATTGTTATATTTACTGTTTGAAAGGCTGTATACATGTGAAAGTATAATGTATTTATCAACAATCGGCAGTTGAAAGTGAAATAAATTTCGGATAACATGAGCCTATTTAATTTAGGTAGAAACAGAATCATAAAGTTTATGATATAATAGTATTTAATTGGTACGGGAGTCGTCAGGAATAAGGACAATAAATGTGACTAGTGTCACCGAGCTGCTCGTCCTTTTAGCCGTGGAGATGTTATAACGTGACGATCAATCTCACTATCCTTTGTAAAAGAGCAGTCCAAGAGCTTGTGGGTGTGGTGTTGACTAGCTGCCCTCCATATAGTCTATTACTGCTAAATTAGGGACGAAAAGCGCAGATAGCCCTCTAGTAACTTTGCATGAAATTCAAAACAAGACAAGAACTTTTCATCGATAAACTTCCAGTAAAATCAAAAACTAAAGACGTTAAACATTGCACCATCAGGAAGCAAACATGAAAAGACAGGATGTTTATTTCAACTGGATTTTAATGATCTTAGTTGAGACCGTTATTTTTGTCTTCAGGGAGGTAGAAACAGAAAATTTTGAAAGTTGAAAGGAAAAAAGCTAGCAACAAAAACTTTAGTACTCTCGACTTTTTCAACAAATAGAAACATTTTAAGACAGTACCTACTATGAATGATATTGGAGTATAAAGACTATATTATTTAAACCAACTTACATTTATAAGCATAACAAACAGTCTTGATACCATATAGCTATTTTTTTATTTCCTGAGTAGAACTTCAATTAACATCACTATTTAGTTTGGGCATCTGCTTTAAAAAAACCGTGTTTGGAGACCACTGTTTGCTGTCACTTCAGTTTGCAGTAAATTCAGTAAAGATTTTCTAGAAAAAAAATATTGTTCATAATTGGAAACGTAACCAGGTAAATGTATACCTATTTCACTAAGTACTTTGGACAAAATAAATACACCTAAAGCTGGGTTTAGAAACGTTGA